TATATATGTTTGTGATAAAGACTATTACGAAATACTCATACAAATTTACGTGGAAACATAAGGCAAGAGATATAAGCAAAGTAGAAGCATTCTTGTCCTGTTTCTAGAAGTTCAGCGATGATGAAATGCCTCACTGTCACCGTCATTTTCTTTGTGTTTCTTTTTCTGTCTGTGATCTGTGAATCTGAAACAAGCAAGTCAGAAGATTATATCATATATATGGGAGCAACATCTTCAGATGGCTCAACAGACAATGACCATGTTGAGCTTCTGAGCTCAATGTTAAAGAGGTGATAACCAAATTTAGAACTCTTTGATTTTATAACTATGATTAATGTTTATGCAAAAATTTAGACAGTATCTTACTTGCATCAGGAGCGGCAAAACCCCCATGCACAGATACAAACATGGATTCTCCGGATTCGCAGCGCATTTATCAGAAGATGAAGCACATCTCATGGCCAAGCAACCGGGAGTAGTATCTGTCTTCCCTGATCAGATGTTACAACTCCACACAACTCGTTCATGGGATTTCTTGGTGCAAGAAAGTTATCAAAGAGATACTTACTTCTCTGAAATAAACTATGGACAAGAATCCGAAGTGCATGAAGGAGACACCATTATCGGCTTCCTTGATTCAGGTGACCACTATGGAGCAATGAATATTTATACTCTGCTTCCAAAACAAATACTCAATGCAGCATATTCTGATGGAGGAAACAGGAATCTGGCCCGAGGCGCAGAGCTTTAACGACAGGCACATGGGTCCAGTCCCAGAGAAATGGAAGGGTACTTGCATGAGAGGGAAGAAGACACAACCTGATTCTTTCCGTTGCAATAGGTAACGAGAGACAGAGGAAAGTAGAACACATATAGAGATGCGATAAATGTTTGAATTTACCACCTCATACTTACGTTAAACGTTGCATAAACAGGAAACTAATAGGAGCAAGGTATTACAATTCGTCATTCTTCTTAGACCCCGATTATGAGACACCACGAGACTTCTTGGGGCACGGGACACATGTGGCATCAATAGCAGCAGGGCAAATAATCTCTGATGCATCCTACTATGGCCTGGCAAGTGGAATCATGAGAGGAGGTTCAACAAATTCAAGAATAGCTATGTATAGAGCGTGCTCACTCCTGGGCTGTCGTGGCTCCAGCATACTAGCTGCATTTGATGATGCGATCGCAGATGGAGTTGATGTTATATCGATATCAATGGGCTTATGGCCAGACAATTTACTTGAAGATCCGCTTTCCATCGGGTCATTTCATGCCGTGGAAAGAGGGATCACTGTCGTTTGCTCTGCAGGAAATTCTGGCCCGTCGAGTCAAAGTGTGTTTAATGCTGCTCCATGGATGATCACGGTTGCTGCCAGCACTATTGACCGTGGCTTTGAGTCCAACATTCTCCTGGGAGGAGATGAAAGCAGATTAATCGAGGTAAAAAGGTAAAAGCCAAAAACGGGACAAATCTCCATTCACATAACTTCAAAAATTTCTTTTGCAGGGGTTTGGAATAAATATTGCCAATATCGATAAAACCCAGGCTTACCCACTTATACACGCACGATCAGCCAAGAAGATTGATGCTAATGAGGAAGCTGCTAGGTAACAGTTGCCTCTTAACATTATAGAGTAACTTTGCTATACTTGTACTAATAAGACAACACAACTGCAACCCTTCAGGAACTGCGCACCTGATACGTTGAACCAAACCATTGTTAAGGGAAAGATTGTTGTGTGCGACAGTGATCTTGATAACCAGGTGATCCAGTGGAAAAGCGACGAGGTTAAGAGACTTGGAGGTACCGGTATGGTACTTAGTGACGACGAGTTAATGGATCTGTCTTTTATTGATCCCTCGTTTCTAGTGACAATAATAAAACCAGGGGACGGCAAACAAATCATGTCCTACATAAATTCAACAAGGTATCAGATGTCTCATTTCACAAGAAATTGGTTTCAAACAGAACTAATATATCATAATCCACATTGTAGAGAACCAATTGCAACAATCATGCCTACAAGATCACGAACAGGACATATGTTAGCACCATCCATACCATCCTTCTCATCAAGAGGTCCTTACTTGCTTACCAGAAGCATCCTCAAGGTATAAGCCCTTATAGTCACCATTAATATGATCTCAATAGGAATTCACAGAAACTTAAAAAACCAAAATACTGATAAACACTTCATTTTGAAACCTGTTACAGCCTGATATTGCAGCGCCAGGGGTCAACATACTGGCATCGTGGTTAGTCGGTGACAGAAATGCAGCACCAGAGGGCAAGCCACCACCACTCTTCAACATTCAAACAGGGACTTCAATGTCATGTCCCCATGTCTCCGGGATTGCTGCTCGTCTCAAATCCAGATACCCTTCCTGGAGTCCTGCAGCAATTAGATCTGCCATCATGACAACAGGTGAGAAATCAAAATCAAGTAGATACCAGTGACGGATTATAGATCGGTAGGCTACAGTTAACCCAAGTACACTCTCTATATGCAGCCGTGCAAAAGACCAACACAGGATCCCATATAACTACAGAAACAGGAGAAAAGGCCACACCTTATGACTTTGGTGCTGGGCAGGTTACTGTATTTGGACCTTCATCCCCAGGACTGATTTATGAAACCACTCCCATGGACTACCTAAACTTTCTCTGCTACTATGGGTTTACTTCTGATCAGATCAGAAAGATATCAAACCGTATACCACAAGGTTTTGCTTGTCGTGAACAAAGCAACAAGGAAGACATATCTAACATCAACTACCCATCAATCTCAATTTCTAACTTCAGTGGAAAAGAAAGCAGAAGGGTAAGCAGAACAGTGACAAATGTAGCATCACGCCTCATTGGAGATGAAGATTCAGTCTACATTGTGAGCATCGATTCACCAGAAGGGTTACTCGTCAGAGTTAGACCAAGAAGGCTACATTTCAGGAAGATAGGAGATAAACTTAGCTACCAAGTGATCTTTTCATCTACTACATCAACAATACTCAAGGACGATGCCTTTGGATCTATAACATGGTCTAACGGAATGTACAACGTGAGGAGTCCATTCGTTGTAACCAGCAAAGGCGACGATAGCAAAAATTAACGATAAACCAAAGACACCAGTGAATGAGAAACCAAAAAGTATAAAGAAGAATAAGATTAAGCAAAGACCAACACTTTAATCTCAAATATTTTTCATAAAAACCAATAGATCTTGTTAGTAGAACAAACCATTAGGTTTTCTTCTTAAATTCTAAAGACAGAAGAACTTCAAACCAAAAGAAGAGAAAGAAAAAAACCAATCCGAAATCTTGAAAGCTAAACACATCTAAAAAGAAGACTAGAGATTCCTAAACACCGATTCCAATCCAATCACTCGAAAGCCCACTTGTTCTCATTGCGAACCTCCTCCTCTTCCTCAGGTGTGTAATCGTTCTTGATGTTGAAGTGCTCACGCATCTGCTCTGGAGTTTTTCCTCTCATCATATCAGCCACGGCCTTGCACGTTAGGTCAAGAAGTCCACTGATGTTCAAATAGTTCGCAGCCTGAAAACACAAAGACACATATCGATTAGTCAAATTAAACAGATCAAAACGAGATTCAATACACTAAAACCCTAACAGAGTCCTGCAAAATCAGACCTAAATCTCCAATTTAAAAACCCTAATTCTAACAAAATCAAACCAAAACAAAGAAAATAACTACTAACCAGGATGAGATCGAAGAGAGTAGGCTGATCAACTTTGACGAAGTCGTTGTCCCATGCCTTGAGTTCATCGTTCTCGGTGGAACCACAAAAATCCTCGTCTCCGCCAGACTCAGCCGCGGCTTCAACGTGCTTCTTGCAGTACTCAATAACCTTCGCAAGGATGGCTCCAGTAACATTGGGAAGCGGAATTCCGTTATCGGCGCAGTCGTCCTCGATCATGTGCTTAATCGTCTGGGACTCGACCGCGACGGCTTCATCGATCTCGAAGGATTCACCGTCGGAGCTCTTGAGGATGATCTTCTTCGCTGCCATCGTTGCAAGATGAGGAAAAAAAAAGTGACGACTCGAAAAGTTTTGAAGAGAATCGGCGCGGCGATTGATTTGTGAAGCTCTCAAGGTTTGGGAATTTGGTGCCCTATTTATAGATCTAAGTAAAGCCCGATTCTTAATTGGTAATTAAAGTCGGTTTATTGCTTTTAAGTAAATCTACTCCTTTTAATAATAGGAAAAGTAAAAAAACAAATATTGGAATTACAGTCAGTATTAAGAAAAAAAAAATGGATATATTTTTACTTTTCCAAAAACTCAATCTTAGCTGTATTCCATAAATATTTTTACTTTTCCAAAGATTTACCGTATCTGATTTCAGAAAATACAGTTTATCTACGTGGGAAAATCATTGACTAGGGTTTTTATGTTTTAATAAAAGAAAACACCCACGTTTGTAGGTAAAATCTATGTGAATTAGATGGAAAAAAAAAATCTATGTGAAGTATGAATTATAATTAGGTATTTTGTAGTTAATATCAAGGAAAATGTAATAATTAGGTGACCAACACCAAAAATTTACCATGAATTATATTATTGAGTGGGACAAATATTGTGTTAGCATTAACAAACCAAGATTACCCAACAAATTATTTGTTTTGTATTTCTCTCATTCGTTGATCTTTTAATATTTTTTCTGGTTGTCTTCTATAGTTTTTTAGCTAAAAAAATTATTTTTATGTTAGGATATTTTCAACGAAGAAAAATGGTGAAACGGAGTAGTGGTGACGATGGTGTCAAGTCTTATAAAGACAGAAACAAGGTGGACATGACTGTTTTTCATCGGAAAATCACCATAATCGAAAATGCATGCACCTCGAACAACTGATTCCTTTAGTTGATGATCAAATTAACTTTGAGCTTAGAAAACATTCAAGTTTACTAGGAGACATCAATTCTTATAGAGCGATACATATCCACTAACTAAGGAACATAGCTCATGAATCAATGCTTACTAAAATCTTCCATCACTCAAAACAGATAGAAATCATCGTCTTATTTTCCTACAAGATGTATATACGAGTACAGAAGAATATACTTATAGCAAATACGTATTTTTTTGGTTTCTTAAACTAACAAGCACCTAAATTGCAAATGAAATAATCAATGATTAATTAGTTGATGGTAACATAAATCAATCTAAACAATAGAGACCTACAAATGGCTCATCGTCGAGAAACTAATCATACTTAAACAAGTTCTTATAGTCTAAATATAAAAAGAAAGAGAAAATTAGTGACTAAGCGAGGTTGCTTTGGATGGTACTGAGGATCTTAGGTAGAACAGTTTTGTAGGCTTTTTCAGAAGGATGGGCAAAGTCCCAGAACACGTGACTACCAGATCTCAAACATGGAATCGGAGTCATCACCGAGCAACAACATGGTTTTGCCGTGGTAAACCCTGAAATTAATTAAAATATAGAAATTAGCACCTTTGTTTTTCTCTACCATATATAGGTATTCAAAATTAGCGTGTGTTACTCAATTTTTTTACCGTATTGGCTAGGATTATTGATGACTTCAAGAAGTGAGTTATACATATCAATGTAGACGAATTTGCCATTGGGAAGCCTTTGGCTGTATTGGTTGACCAAGTTCGCTACTTTTTCATTATATACTCTAGCACCATAGTTTACATTCGGAAGACATATCAAATTTCCGGTAATTTGTCTCGCCCCTGGCAAACACCCTAACGGTAACGTTCCAAGAATTGCAAATTTTCTAGCTCCCAAATCATATAGACTCTGTTATTCATACAAAATAATCATTATAGGTAGCAAAATATTATGAAAAAAATATTATATAAATAAATTTGTGTTGTATACATTCATGAAGGTAGTTTTCCAACCGATGAGCATATCAGTGTATGCTTGGACAGTGTATCTTGTTTGTCTCTTCGGAGTTGAAAAATATGTGATGGCAAGATCGTTATTACCAGCAGAAACTAGAATCACAGCATTGGCTATAATCTCTTTGACTTTAGCTGGATCTCCAACTTGTTGGTTTAATTTTTCTATATATCTTTGAAAGTCATTCACCTGATCTTGTACCCATATAACCCCCTATATACTTTACCATATAGTAAATGAGTAAACACATATATTACTTTATCTTATTAAAAGTTTTAAGTAACAAGTGATTTACCTGTATAGATGCAGTGAATTTGTCTAACCCTGAACCTCCGGACGCAAAACAAACACCGGTAGCGAGTTCACTACTTTTAAGAAATGGGCTCCGGAAGGCAGGTAAAAGATCTTTTACCCCTAAACCGCCCGCTACATACATATATAACATGTACATTTTCATTATAGAATGATTCTCGAACTATTTGATTACTCATTAGGTAAAAAGAATGTGAAGAAAAAATTGGTCTATGCTGTATAGAGAACAATTAATACCAACTAAATCTGATAGAACTCTTCCATTCCCGAATCTTCCGGTAGGAATACGATTAGGAAAATCGCGTCCATATGGCAAAAAATTGCCTCTTGACACTGTCATGAGCAAATTGTTGTTACCGGTATCGAGAATCGAATCTCCAAATGCAAGAACCGCTGAAAATCTTCCAGTTTGAGCTTGAACACATGAAATCCATATAGAAAATAATACTACTAGAACTTTGATGGCTGTATTTTCCATATCAAAGAAATTTTAAGTTTTTTTTTTTTTTCTAACTATGTTTTTGTTTTGAATTTTAGTTTTTTTTTTTTTTTATTAATTTTTTTACTTTATCGTCTTACTTTTTAATTTTTTTATACACAGGTGAAGGGTTGAGAGAGTTCATCGAGTCCCTTGAATAATGGTATGAAACTTGTTTGTTTTTGTGGTTAAAGAACAACACTCTTCCCTGTATCACTGGACTGATTATATATATTTAGCCAAACCAGCAAATCAAGCCTTACCACTCAGTTTTATTCAATTATTTGACTGATTTACCCCCACAACAATGTGCAGATTAAATCATATAATTTGGTTATATTTCATGTTATATAGTTGCTACTTTACTTCAGAGACCTACAATATTATTACATTATCATGACCTAAAAAGAAAAAGATAATCATTATATAAAAAGCTGTATTGGAAGATAGCTATAGATCAAATGAACTGATTGATTTTGATATGATCTTTTGAAACCGTGTGAAGAGTGATAAAAGATTCTCTTAGAATCAATTCATCTTTGCCAAAAAAAAGAAAAAAAAAAGAATCAATTAATAATCAATATATATATATATATATAGTGACTTACAATAATTTTATACAATTTATAACAACTGCACAAGCTTAAAGAAAGCAAAAGCGTACAACGTGAGTCATTTACTACTCACTTTAAATTGTGGATGTATTTCTCAAAAAGTATTTTGGTTAAGATTTTATAGAATCTTTGGGTAGGATGGAGACTATCCCAAAACATGTAAGCAGATACATTGGAGCACACAAATGTTGTGAATCGATTGCAAAGTAGACCTGCTTCCAAAAATCCAGTTCCACAACAACCTTTCTTTATTTCTTCAAAACCTGCATTAATTCTCAACCCAAGTTATATATACATGATCCCATGAAATTAGTACTTATAAGAAATATTCACGGTCCAATATTTACCATAATCTGCAGAATTTTCCAAGATGTGACTGAAAGCAGAGTATATGTCAATGTAAATGAGATTGGAATTTGGTAGGTTTTTTGCCAATTGGTCCAAAGTGATGGACAGTTTGACGTTGAAAAGCTGAGAAGCATAGTTTATATCTTGAGCACACTCTCTACGAAGACCTCCTTTTAGAGTTCTTAGTATTGGTACGCAGCCAAGTGGTGGTGTTCCTAGAACTGCTATTTGTCTTGCTCCATATTCATATAATTGCTGTTCAGTTGTATCCATAGAGATAGGTTATTGTTATCACAAAAAAAAAAAAAAACATTTAGTTATTAATTTATTTACGTTAGTGCCAGTAAAGAAAATCTTTGAAAGGAAATTGCTAAAATTGTCATTTTTATGTATGTATACCATATATTAATTAATTAATGAGAAATTGTTAAAAATATCTCTTTTGGTGTGCCCTTTTTTAAAAATGTCCCTTTTAGATGTCCATTTTCAAAAATTCCCCTTTTTAAATCTGAGATTTTTATAAAGTTCTATTAGGTTTATAAGGTACTTATGGATTGTAACTACTACTTGAAGACTCGATCCAAGTATTTATAAGGTTTTATAAGGTGTTTTTAAAGGTTTTACAAGTTATTTTAAAGGATTTTTATGGTTTTTCAAAGGTTTTACAAGATATTTTAAAGGATATTAAAGGTATTTAAAATGCATTTATAAGGTATTTATAAAGTATTTATAAGATTTTAGATACATAGAAATGTAGTTTGTGTATGTTTTAATAATATTACATACATATTTGGGTAAGTCTTATATTTTTAAGAGCCTTTTTTATAAGGTTTTAAAAAAGGGGTATTTTTGAAAAGTGACATTTTTGCAACAGCCTCATTATTAATTATTAAACATAATCATGACCATATTTAGTTTAGTTTAAAACCTTTGTAAAACAATAATTCCTTTTGGTAATAATTTCACATTTTATCCCAAAAAGAAAACATTAATCATGACCAAATTCAATATTGTTGGTTGTCAAGTTTATGTACATCTAGTCATCTACATTGTTATTCTATTAAGTACCTTAGCTCTTTTTTTGTATAAAATTAAATTTATCAATAGCTACACTGTTTTTTACTAAGATTATTTTTAAGAAGCAAAACTAAAAGTCCTAAAATTCTAACAAGTTGATTTTACTACCTTTGACAAATGTCGCTTTTTAAAAATTAAATACATTACATGCAAATTTTTGGTATTATGATAGTTTTAGAGTGTCTTCTTATCTTACAATAAATCATAATATATAGTTTTTGAAATCATTGAACGTAATTGCATGAACTTTTAATTTTATTTGGAGTGTAAGTTTCTGAACTCTAGGAAAAAAAAAAGATGGATGATGAGGTACGTACCATAACAAAACTTGCGGCAGAATTAGCCATCTTTGAAGTAAAGTAGTGAATATCGTCTTTGAGCAATTGAGCACCTTGACCATAGTATGTAATAGCCAAATCGTTGCTGCCGGCGACCACAACAGATAATCCCTTGGCTAACAATTGATCGGTCTTGTCTTGCCCAATTAACCTCTTTACTCTCGATATGTGTCGTTGGAAATATGTCAATTGGTCCAACATTGACTTTACTCTCTGATTATATTTTGCCCAAATGATTAGGATAAAAGATTAGATATATATATATAACCTAGAGAGGATCGATTTGCATCTTACAGATATTCTGGGTGTCAAATGGTAATAGCCACTACCACCTGAAGCAAATGATACACCGGTGAGAAGATCTTCTAGTTGTACATTGGGGTCAAAATATGCTGGTACAATTGGTTTTACTCCCAAATATTCAGCTGTAAATTTAAATAAATACAAAAACCAAAAAACAATACTTAGACAAATTGAAAAATAATCATAAATATAAAAATGGAATTATTTTTCTTTTTAACTTCGAAAACGTATTCATTTTTTTTTCAAACTCTTTTCCTCATTAATTTGCTATTTTGTCAATGTTTAAAGCAAGCAATAGTATTGATAAAACAAAATTATACATACTATACTTTCTTTTTTGGGTTCTGTTCAATTAACAACCTAACATATTATTTTAAACAAACAAAGAATTTAACACATGATCATAATATATACTATAACCTAGTTATTTGTGATAGTATTATCACTCTATCACCAATTATGTTCAGACTCTCATAATGTACATGCTATGAAATAAACAAATCTTCTAAGAGTCCGGCACAAAAGAAGAGGAAAGAAAGAGAGAGTACGAACATATATAATCGGAAACGACCTTTCCGTTGCTGAATCTACCAGTTGCAACTCCGAGCGGAAAATCCATACCATAAGGACTAAAATTACATTTCATTTCTGTTGTTAGATTATTGTTATTTCCCGTATCTATGATCGAATCCCCAAAGAAAAACACTGCCGGTGTGGTTTTGTTATGTGGTGATGGAGATGGGCCAGGTGATGGGCCTGACCCAGATTCTGGCGGTGGCCATGGCCGCAGACGTTGGTGGTGGATCACTTGGGAATGGGTGGTGGTCACGAAGAATATACAAAATAATGGTAAAAGAAAGAAAACACATCCAGTTAATCTCGAATAAATCAGCCTATATTGTTTCATGGTTCTATACCTATCAATCTCTGAAATAAAAAAGAAAAGCTTCTCTAACAAAAAATAAAGATGAAAATTTTACCAACGATACTCTTTTGCATGTGTTTATACCACTAGCTAGTGATGTCACTCTGTATGTGTGTACATTTTAATCTCTATTTGGACATGCGATTTTTGTGCCGTGTTAAATTAAAGTTGCGTATGTCTCCAGGCTTCTTTTATCACACGTTTTGAGAATTTCCTTACATTAAAATTTCCTTATTAAGATCCATAAAGTATTCCTACGCAAGTGTAAACCAGTTGCCAATCGAACTTAATTCTCTCACGGACTGATTTGCTAAAAGCTCCTCAGAAAGAAACTATTTATATGATCATCAGCAATGTATAGAAACATATATGATCAGTAAATTTTTGCTTATATTTTATCTTACTAGTGATGGATATTTCAGTATGGTTTATCTTTTATTTCATAATGACTAAAATTTGGATATTTGAAATCATGTAAATGAAATTTTCTATTAAAAGCGAATTAAGAAAATAGTAAATACATTGTTTCGGGCATGCGATGTATGTGACGGTGTGTGAAGTGTCTCTTTCTGATCACACATTTTTTAACCTCCTAATATTTAGGTTCTTCTGCGGGTATCAATCAGACTCAACTCTTTCGGGCACTTCTGGTTTTACTACTCAAGAGCATTTGAAGTCCATCAATCAAAATGTCTGCGATTTCTTGATATGTCCCCATAGTTTCCTAGATTATACCATACATTATTTTAGAAATGATAAGAACCCATTGGATGTACCCTGCTGAAAACATGTTTGGTTCAGATTTTCTTGTTATCAAATATGGTAGCCGCGCTGGTGTAAGAAATTTGTTCGGTGTGGTTTCAACTTCTCAAAGATCTAAATCCCCATTTTCATATGAACTTATTTGTATTTTCAAATTGAATTTTTATCGGATAACGGGCCTCTTTATGATTTTAGTAGCTTATATGCAAAGAGTTTGTCTATAGTAGACCTGAAACTCAATTGATCAAGTCGCACTCATCTATCCTAAGAAAACGAGATTATGTATAGTCTAAAATTTACCGCTTTAGTTTTTTTAACACATGGAGTATAATCCTAGAAAATAACTGAATCTCTCATTCAAAAAAAAAAAACAAGAACTAAGAAATTACAGATTAAATTTATTTGGCCATTACACCACAAACATGATCATACACTAATACAAACATGACTCGATGGGGATTCAGTTTGACACAAACGAAAAATCTTACATTACTATCTCAAATGTTGTTTGCTTAACTACATTTTTAGTCACAGAAACGGCCCATGTCTTCTACATCATTAGTACATAGCAAAAGATTTTATTTTCATATGAGATAAATCATGTAATATTATTTAGATAAAACATGAAGGTATTCTTTAATAAGTACTTTGTTTATAGTTTTATAAGCTCTTTGCGTAGGATGCACACCGTCCCAAAACAAATAAGACGATGTATTGGGACAGATTTTCGATGTAGCCTTCTTGCAGAGGGCACCTCCGCTTAATAATCCTGTTTTGCAACACGGTTTCTTTGTCTCCTCAAATCCTGCATGCAAAAATTGTAAAATTCATATGCATGATCATATATTATAAATAACTTAAAGTGTTATATGAATTGCCACATTAAATTATTTACCATAAGCCCCAGGAGTTTCTAGCATCTGACTGAAGATAGTGTAGATGTCCATATAAACAAGTGTAGAATTTGGTAGGGTTTTTGACAATTGACCCAAAATAAGAAGGAGCTTGGAATTGAAAAGCTGAGAAGCATAATTAAGCTCTTCATTGCATATTTTCTTTTTCTTTAATCTTTGTGATGGTACACATCCAAGTGGTGGTGTTCCGATCACTCCAATACGTCTTGCTCCATACCCATACAATTGCTGCCCAATTTATACATTTACGTTATTTTACTAGTTTAAGGAAATTAAATCATGTTTGTGAATTTGGAAAAGCAAAAAAAAAAAGGAGGATGTGGAAGCTATAATAATACGTACCAAAACGAAACTGGCGGCAGAATCAGCAATGATAGTGGTATAAGAGTCTATGTCATTTTTGAGTCGTTGAGCACCACTTCCAAAATATGTAATGATCAGATCATTGCTTCCGGCGACGACAATTGCTACTCCTTTGGCTATTAGTCAATCTAATTATTAATCTACATATTTGAGTCAATCTGAATAATTTTCAGAATAATTTATCTTATTTTTTGTTATTCGGTATTTAAATATTCATTTCTTCTCACTTTTTCAATTACTAAATCAAATGATGATTATGGTTGCAAATATAAATTACTCCATATAAAAATGATGATAAAAGTGATTCGAACTTACGGCTGCTTCGGATGTCGTAGGATTGTAGCCAGCACCACCCGATGCAAAAGATACGCCCGTAAGAAGATCGTTTGGTTGTACCTTTGGGTCTAAATATGCCGGTACAGTTTCTTTTACTCCCATGTATTTGGCTATTCGGATTATAACAAAAATATGCAATTAGAAGAATTTATAATTGGTTTTCCTTCCTTTTTTTTTAAGTATGTTGAAAATTTGTAATTAATGGTCAATATCAATCTATTGGGCCAAGGTCCGGCCCAAAAGAAAATAATGGAGAGAGGGAGAGGGAGTACGTACATAAATAATCGGAAGCAACCATTCCATTGCTGAATCTACCAGTGGCAACTCCGAATTTGAAATCCATACCATAAGGACGATAATTACTTTTTATCTTTGTTTCTCGATTATTGTTATTTCCTGTGTCGAAGACGGAATCCCCAAAGAAAAACACGGCTGGTATGGTTTTGTTCTCTGGCTTAGGTGGTGATGGGGCAGGTTTTGGCGAGGGGGCAGGCGTTGGTGCTGGAGCAGGTTTTGGAGGTGGGCCATGTGGTGGCACAGGCTTTGGAGTTGGGACTGGTGGCTTAGGTGGTGATGGACATGGCGCTGGCTTTGGTGCTGGCGGTGGCGCTGGCTTTGGTTGAGGCTTAGGTGGTGTTGGTGGGCATGCTGGTGGTGCTGCTGGCTTTGGTTGAGGCTTAGGTGGTGGTGATGGGCATGGAGATGGACTAGGTGCTGGTGGTGGCTTGGGTTGAGGCTTTGGTGGTGGTGATGGGCATGGAGATGGGCCTGGTGGTGCGACAGGTTTTGGTGATGGGCCAGGTGGTGGGGAAGGCTTTGGTGATGGGTCAGGTGCTGGTGGATTCATTGGCCACGGCTGTGGATACGGTCGTGGCCACAATGGCCAAGGCCAGAGCCGTCTGTGCATGACCTGAGCATTGGTCGTTGTCAAGAAGAAGATACAAAATGATAACAGAAAGAAAATACAACGAAATATTCTCGAATATGAACAAGGATCGACCAAGGAAGATCGCTTCATAGTTTTACTACAAGTAGTAAAATCAGTTTTCATTCAAGTGTTTTGCCACTGTCATGGCAATATCTAGGTGCGTGTGTGTATATATATGCATTATTACGTAGATTAGGACATGCCATTTATGTGGCCTTGTTGAAGTTGCTTACGTCTCAAGGCTTCTCTTATCACACATTTTGAGACTTTCCTTATATTCGGTCTCCAGTTTCCAGTTGGAACTTAAGTCTCTCTATCATCTTTTGTGACTTCTCAAAGCATAGAAGTTCTTGAGAAAGAAACTCTATTAAATTTTCACTTTCTTTGACTTAATAAGAAAAGTTTTATCAGAAGTCAGACAACTAGTTTGATTATTGGAGTTAGGGTTTATGCCTTTATGGCTATGTAATAGTAATATAGGTGAGAGCATCATTAAGGGTAGTTCCTTAACATAAATCTTAGAGATTATATAATTAAAATTAAATGGAAAATGAGAGTTAAACTTAAGGAACCTTCCTTAGATAAGAAATGTTTATTCACCTAAGAGACGGACCGGTGTCGTTCACAGAATGGGGCTTGGTAAAACACGAGGAAGGAAAAAAATTGTTTCGCGTTTTTCTCTCTCTCTTTTTTCTCTGTGACTGAGAAACCAAAGAGAAATCTTCTCAGTCTCAAATCTTCGTCTCCTCCGTTGATTGTTTAAGTTGGTGATCGGAGGATGGCATCTTCATCATCTCAACGGATGGCGGCTCTTCTCAATCCGATTCGCTTCTCAGGTAATCCTTACTCCCTCCGACGACTTTTTCCTCAATTCTTCGTCTTTCTCAATTGAATCTGGAAATCGTTATCTGGGTCGTTATCTTTTTCAATTTCATTGTAAATTTTGCAGTTTGAATCAATTGCTCTTTTTTCTAAAAGCTATACATGCAGTTGAATGCAGAGATTGGAGAATTTGATGAAGCCTTTGCAATTTGCAAGGGATTAACCTTTTTTCCAAGAGGTAGAAGTAAACATTGAAGAACTGAATTTGGCACTAAATAATGAGCAGATGGATAAAGAGGTAAGGAACCACATGATATGGTGTCAAGCTCCTTCATGAAACTAAATTGGATTATGTGATATAATTTATTATGAAGTTACCTTGATCGAGTTGGTGAAGAAACAAATCCCGTTTGTCAATTAGGTGATCTGCATATGCTTGAATTTGGAAGACGTTTTCTGCTCATGACATGTGTATTTCTCTCTACAGATTTCCAAAGCAAAGTTTGACCTTGTGCAAACTGTCCAAGAAAATGCAAACGTTCGTCACAAATTGTTCAATCCCTGGTATATTTTTGTTCCTACTAGCACTGGTGCTAAGATCAAAATTTGTGTATACACTAGTTTAAATGTTTGTTGTGGAGACAGGGAGCTTTAGAAGTAGGGATGTTAAATAGGGTTTCCCAGCCCAACCCGGCCCTATTTATTTAAAGCCCAGCCCTAAGTGAGCCCTAACCTTTTTTAAGCCCTAAAAAAATTTAAAACAGGGTTATGCCCTTTTCTGGCCCTTTCTAGCCCTTAAGTTTTTTTTTTTTATATTTAAAGAAAAAAAATTTTCAAACAAAAACAATTATAAGTTAATAACACTATTGTTTTATATCAAATGGAAACACTATAACACCAAAACATGTAAAACATTGTTTCTTGTCGTTTATACTCATCAGAAAATTGATCTTTTCTACTTAATCCAAACATTCAAATCTTTTCTACTTCATCCAAAAAGTTTTATATTTTCTACTTAATCCCAAATTTCATTTTTGCCACTTAATCCAAAAATTCAACTTCGTAATGGTCACTAGAACTCGACTTCGTGATCGAGCTATGCATCAACAATTGAAGAAGGATTTGGTCGAGCATATATAGACAAAATTTTCTAGAAATCAAGTTTAAAACATTTGTGCTTTATGTTATGTATCTTATAAATTGTATTTCATGTATGTTTTAAATTTTTTAATTTGCAACAATTATTAAGTTTTCTAAAATTACAAAATTAATTTTTATATTAATTTTTTTCTTCTAAAAACCACATGTTAAGAGCCTACCATTGGAGACACATAAATCTTAAAACAAAAATACAATATCTTAACTATAACTTTTACAAATTTAATAATTAAAGACTCCCAAGAGCCAACATTAAGAGACCCTTGATAATCATGCTCCGATGCATGTGCGACTGTGTCTGAGGATGAAAAGTTCCTAGTGGATTGGCCTTCTTTCAGACTTTCGATTTAATAGCCGTATAATATGATTTAAATTTATTTAATTTAACTTTGTTTCCACCAATCGTTTTTTTTTCCTTCTCTTTATTGAAATGAGATGGATTCGATCAAGTAAAAGAAACCAGAAGGTGTGTCAACTAGGCTGGATTTATCACACAATAATTTAATTAACAGCATGTTAGTATGTTACACTCTTTACTCAGCAGCTTCTATTTTCAAGAAGAAAAAAATGTTCCCTAAATATTATTGTTCTAATTAATGGGTGTTAGCCGATCATCATTTTTCACCGATTATTGTCGAAGTACACAGAATAAAATCATTAGAAGAACAACTGAATTTCTCCCTCCAAGTCAATTTATATGTATATATAATAAAATAAACATGTTTTAAGACATTAATCCAAATGAGATACAGCTTTTATTTAGCCAAACTCCATCTCAAACATTATCAAATGTATCATCTTAAAATTACATTTATTTATTTGTCATAGAACGGGCCCATGTCATTCTCTACAAAGTTTTGGCTTAAGATCTTATAAGCTCTTTCCGTTGGATGGTAAGAGTCCCAAAACATAAAAGAAGACACATTCTTGCAAAGAAGTGAAGTAAATTTGTTGCAAAGCGGACCTAATTCGACTAGCCCCGTCCCGCAACATCCTCTATCAATCTCATCAAATCCTGCAAAAATTCCCCAAAAAAATAACATCAATCTCAAACTTATTCTCACAAATTAAAAACACCATTAAATTAGTAGTTGAGCGTTACCATATTTTTTGGGGTTTTGAATCATATCATTGAAAGAAGAGTAGATGTCAATATACACCAATGTGGTATTTTTCATGGTTTTAGCCACTTCGTTCAAACTTGTGGAGAGTTTGGAATTAAAAAGCTGAGCTGCAAAGTTTAGTTCATCAGCACATTTTCTAGTAAGTCCTCCTCTTGTGGTTCTCTGTATCGGTATACACCCAATCGGAGAAACACCAATGAATCCTATTTTTCTTGCTCCTGATTCATACAGTTGCTGCCAATATTAAACTCATATTCATTAGGATTGACTTACTAGTTCATATAAACAATTGGATCAGAGAGAATTAGTTTCACGTACCATAGCGAAACTTGCAGCAGAGCTAGCCATAAAAGAGGTATATGTATCGATGTCATACAAGAATTCTTCTAAGTGTTCACCATAGTAGGTATTAGCCAGATCGTCGCTGCCCGCTACCACAAGGGCTAGGCCTTTGGATATTATGTGCTCGGCTTTCTCTTTTCCCACAAAGCCTTGCACTTTCTCTATGTATTCTTGAAAGTATGTCAATTGTTTTGACATCGATATCGCACTCTACGTATACCATTACATATAAAACCAATTCAAATCATACGGAAATATTAAAAAATGAAGGAGATAATTTCGAAAACCAAAGAATTGACGTTATTACTACTACGATAGGTGTCAAAGGATCGTAGCCAGAACCACCCGAAGCAAAGGATACACCAGTGAGTAAATCTTCCTGGGTCAGTCCCGGTCTCAAATATGCCGGTACAACTGGTTTTACTCCTAAATAATCCGCTATGAAATTCGGAAAAACAAAAAACCAACTTTCATAAATATATTGCCATCGAAAGTATACATAAAAAAATACTATTATCTTCAACAGCATTCTCTAGTTTAGAGTAAGTAAATTTAATTTTCATATGATACCATACCATGACATATGAGCCTACGTAGAAACTACATATAGAAGCATATATATTTTGTATGTATATATAGTTTCTATCTTTAATCTCATGATATGATAAAGGAGAGGAAAGTCACCTATAAAGTCTGAAGGGATTTTGCCGTTGCAAAATCTGCCAGTGGGAACTCCATCTGGAAAATTCATGCCATATGGAAGAAAATTAGCTTTAATCAATGTCAAAATGTAATCGTTATTTCCTGTGTCTAAGATCGAATCCCCAAAGGCAAAGATCGCCGGAAACGTCGTGTTATGTTTCCTAGGTGTCACTGGTCCAGGGTTTGGCCCTGGACTCGGACATAGCTTAGGCTCTGGTGCCGGGGCAGGCCCTGGATTTGGTCCTGGCTTTGGAACTCGCGATAAGCGGTTTGCTGAGGCATGCATTGTCAAGAAAAAGATATAAAAGAGTGAGAGAAACAAAACACATTGAGATATTTTAGAACTAGACAAAGAACAAGAAACCACAGTAGCTTGCAACATATTCACAAGATAATCTTATATGTCTGATAAGAAAAAGGGAATTTCGTTGTAAACTCCAAATTATAAAGAGTGGGAGACTCAAGTAGCCAAAGTGTTTTATTACTCACATAGGAAAAAAAATTGTGGAGACAAGCATGCGCTTTAGATGGTTAGAAGAAGAAGAAACTTGTCTCTTATGGCTTCTTCTCATTCACACAAATCGAGCTTTCCTTAAATTCAGTAATCCATATACTACTCCCACTCTCGTAGTCGTATTACTATAATATCTACACTATAAGAACATTGTTTCTTTCGAAAAAAAACCTCGAACAAATGATCACATACACGAGCTCGAGAAAGAGCAAGTATCGACAAGAATATTGAGTTTTTGAAACGTTATATAATACTTGAAGTTTATTTACCCCATTGTAGCACTCATCAACAAGAACCAGAGGATTTGCAAATACCATTCAAGAAGACAGTGTAAACGTGAAACAGGACATGAACCTTGTCAAAAGTCTATGTTGAGATTTGATTGTGTATGTGGGGAATTGATGAAACTCAATTTCGAGGTTGCTTGTAGAAAACTAGAAAATTCAACAGCTGTGTTGCAGTGTTTTGTGTGAAGAATCTTACTTTTGTTAAAAGAGATTGAAACAAATCCAAACGAAATAATTCATTCACACATTGGTAAAAGTTTGATCATCAAACCAAAATCATAAATAAAAAGTAAAACAAAACAAAATAACAACTAAACTATTAAAGATTTGGGTAACATCAAAGTAACTTTTTGTTATTAACACCATAACCATGTTTGTTTTAAGTAATTTTTTCTGTTTAAAGTTTAAAAGGTTGTGTAAAATAAATACGACCAGAACACGTAGTTTAATGATTAATACTCTGTTAATGTGGTTATTGTGTTATCATTTGTTTCAAATCCACATGATTCATTGTTTTTGATAAAAGGTTCACATGGTGCGTTGTTTACAAAATAAATACTTAAAACAACATACTAAAAGAAACATGGTTGATAGCAACTGTTTTATTTTTTGACCAACAAACTCAAATGCTGCAGTTTGAACACTCGTACATATACATAGTATCACAACAACATGGGGATTGATTTGTCAAGTAGCTTCGAGATTATGATCCTGTTAGCTCTTTCGCTTGGATGATAACCATCCCAAAACAAATATGCAGATATATTTGGACATACCGATGTCGTATATTTGTTGCACAACCAAAGGACTTCTATCAATCCTGTTCCACAACAACCTCTATCCGCCACTTCAAATCCTGTCCAAAAAAGCAAATCATTTTTATCATATAAGGTGCTATATCATCATTTATCTTATCATGATGAAAATTATAGAATAAGTTTCGCATAAACTATAATCGATACACACCGTATTTTTGTGGACTTTGGATGAGCTCAAGAAGAGAGTTGTAGTAGTCAAAATAAACCAATTTGGCGTCTTGTAAGGTTTCTGATAGTGAATCCAGCATCGAAGAGAGCTTTGAATTGAAAAGCTTTGATGCATCATTGTAATTCTGATCACAATCTCTTTGAAGACCTCCTCCTAATGTCCTTTGTGATGGTAGACATCCAAATGGTGGTACACCTACGACCAATATTCTTCTTGCTCCATATCCATATAGTTTCTATATCATATACAAGAAACAAAATGTTTTTTCCCTCTCAAAACAAATATATAGTAACTTAAAAATATACAATAGTTGGACATTTTAGTAGATTGATAATTCAGATATTTTATATTCATACAAATAATGTATCCCTTACATCATAATTTATTTTATTACCGTGAGCGATGAATGGTTATATAAAAGCATATTATTTCATATCTAATCATATAAAAAAATTCTGATGGATGAGAAAATCATGCGAGAATGTAACTTACTTTCATGAAATCAGAGGCAAGTTTTATGACAGAAGAGGTGTATGAAGGGACGTCTAATTGAAAATTCCCAGCAGTAGCGCTGGGCACATCGTTGCTGCCGGCGACCACGAGGAATAAGCTTTTCGATATCATATAATCCGCTGTCTCTTCTCCTCCATTTTGTTTCAATTTTTCTATGTACTCTTTTAATTGTTTCAACTGGTCTCTCATTGACAACGCTGACTTTTTTTTGGTCATATCATAAGAAAAAGACGGAAAAAAAAATGGTAAACATTGATACACATAGTGGAAGAAGACACATGAGTAGTAGACTTTACAAAACGAGATAATTTTAAACACTAACATTTTTGATTGTTTTATGTACAAATAATTAAACTGCTAGATACGTTTAAAATGGTGTAACTATATATGTACATCTCTATCAGATTTTCTATCTTAGTTATTGCCTTCGTATAAGCATTCACTTTTTTTGTTGTCTTTGTAGTTATGATTACATGTTTACTTTAGAAAAATACATATATCAATTATATCAAAAAAAAACTGTAATTGTAAAATCATATATGTTTTGATAAATAAAGAGAAAACTTACTAAAATGTTGTCTATTTTGTTCAAAAAAAACATAACTAGCTTGTAGATAATAGAAGATGGAGTTATAGAAAAACTTGGTAAATAGTTTTGTGTTTAGTTATGTTATTACCCTGCTTTGGGATATCCGAGGGTTAAAACCAGAACCACCAGAAGCGAAGCTAACACCGGTGAGAAGATCTTGAGGTGTTAAACTCGGATCTAAAGAGGCTGGTATTGTTCGTTTAATTCCCAAACCTTCGGCTGCAAAATGAGCCTAATATTTTTTAGGAAAAAGAATGTTATGTAGTCATAAAATATATTCTTGCTTTAGGGAAACAATAATACGATTGATTTATCAAAGAGAAGAGAAGAAAACAACAAAAATTGTGGGATTTTTTTCTCTAACCGTATACAACGAACCTATTAAGTCGGGAAAAACTTCACCGTCGCCGAATCTTCCAGTCGGAGTACCACCTTCGAAATTGATACCGTAAGGTGGATAATTACATTTTGCGATCGTGTTGAGGTAATTGTTATTTCCGGTATCGGCATACGAATCGCCAAAGACTATCAACGCCGGAAATGTGGCATTTGATGAGAGACTCGCCGGTAAAGTGGTTGTGGCCGTGGTCGTCGTGAAGAAGACAATAACGGATGAGAGAAACAAAATCAAACTATATTGTTTCATTGTTGTACCAAGAGACAGGACAGGAGTAAAGTTAATATTGCTCTTTGTTCGTTGGTCTTTGGAAGAAGCTTTTCCGTGCATAGCTGTCGGAAGATTAATGTAGACTATGTAGTGTATATAAGTGCGATGATTAAGGAAAGGATCACATGCTATATTAATACACGTTACCATCAAACATTATAAGATTTGAATAAGTATCGTCCTCTCCTATACATAATAATTGATAACTAATACTCCCTATGTTCCTAGAAGATTGATATTCTAGAGATTTCACATATATCATAGTAATCTGAAACAGTTAATCATTACGTCTTGAAATTTACGATTTATTAATATCAATTAATTAAAATTAAAGAAAAAATCTAGAAAATTAATCTTTGTGGAACAAACCCAAAAACTAGAACATCAAACTTGAAAGACCATAGAGAGTAGTAAGTTTCATTGGGATTCAAAAATGTGACATCCATAAACCACCATCATTAATGGAGTCTTTGTTTCACTTAATTAACTTCAATGGTGCCACCATCATTTCATATATTAGTAGTAAAAAAACAGCCGAATTATTGAACTACATGTGAATGGTCAGAGAAATTGAAGTAATGACATTAGAGGTCTGACAGAGTAAATTAACCAATCAGTCATTAGGGAGACAACCGAACTACATATAAGACTGTTCATCACTCAAAAGACTTTCATATACACACAAAGGGAAAACACCATCCACATGAGACAGGAAAAGAAATTATTTTGGTGGGATCAAATCCAATTCAATAACCAAATGAACCAAATCTCATACTTTTAATTGATATATATGTCAAGCAAAAAAAAGCGGGTAGGAAGATCAATGTGCGCTAACGAGGAAAGGGTTTTGGCAAACTCCGCACTCAATGGTCTCTGATCCTGAGATTGGAACCTGGACCTGCAATATAAATGGCAATGCTCTCATAATCAATCGCATACATGGTGTCAAGAGACACTAAAAACAAGCCAACTTCAAATTTCCAATCTGTCTCGAGTCATCTATCAACTTGCTTTAATTAACTGTTCAGATGATTAAGCGACAATCTCCATGATCCAATTTTAATAGACTTCACATCGACCATACGTAGCTGTTTAACACTAGAGCTCGCACGGTAAGACATCAACATTTTGTCTAGCTATTCTATTTCGTCAATGTAGTTTGCAAGATGATCATACACACTGACACAAGTGATTATACCTATGAGGACCTCCCTGTTTTCCTTATTCTAGAAAACATTGGGTCCCAAAATCATACAACGAAAGACATACTATCAAAGGATCTAACCTGTAAGTGCACTGTGCATGTTGGACAAGCTACTTCTTTCATCCGCCTCCCAGATCCTTCCCTCGAACCTGTTATAATCATAGTCATCATTGTCAGCAACCATAAAATACCAGAAACAATATATCATTAGCCAGAAGTATATTAAATTGACGAATTACCAGACGAAGACTTGCGGTTTCTCTCCATTTCCTCCTGTATCAAACATATCCGCCATCAGAAAACAAGTATATACCTTCCGCAAGATATTAACTCAACTTGTATATCATTAAACTTAATAAAGAACCCAGGAAGATTAGCTCACCTGTAACTTCCTAGCAAGGTCTTCATGGCTCTGCAAGCTCACATTCCTGCTAGTGGCTTCCTTGGCATTACTCAACCTTTGTGACACTTCTGCCTGCACATCCAGAAACAGATTCACATGAGCATTAACACTTTTTGAACTTAGAGGCATACACAGAAAAGACAAGACACCAGTACAAGTTAACTTTTAGCCAGTACAGGTAACCAAGGTTCTCCATGTTAAAGCTAATTCAGCACATTCTCGGGAATCCATGGAACATGATTCCTAAGCTTAAGTAAAAATGAACAGAGAGATAAGCATACCATGCACCGGTCACAAACACGCACTTGAGGAGCATTATCCTCAGCAGTGAGAGTAATCCTGCCTTGAGTACACTTGTCACAGAAGACGTCGCCACAATTCCTGCAGTGGTGCTGGAAAATAATAAAAAGCCATAAGGTTTGATAGTCCCAACATGGCCAAGAACTTAATTCAGATTGTTAGATCGGGGAAAATAATACCCTTCGAATAAATGCACCGAAATCTGAACCACATGATGTGCACTTAGATACAGCTTCATCAGGTACCTAAAGCCAAAAATAACATGGAATGAGAACAATATGCCACAGCTAAGCAAAGAATTAGTGATGTAGCTGATCACCAAAACTACACTAGCCTTATACTTTGACTACAAGAGAGTTGTGTTATTTCCCAACAAAACAAAAAAAATCATACCCAATGATCTTTCTCCTCATTTACAGGCTTTATAATGTTCATCCAATCACCCAATCCTTTTTTCTTCTCAGCAGTTTGTTCAACCAGTTTTCCAGAGGTGGGAGGCCTGCTACTTCCTCCGATCTCCTTGGCCTAAAACCCACCAACAGAATAACATTGGATTAGTGAAACGAAATCACGACAGAATTGACATATAAACTTCAATGATATAAAAATTGTAAGTTTAGGAACCTGAAACATTGCAGCTGTCACAGTGTCCAGAAGCGTGTTGGTGGTGTAACTATTTGATTGCAGTCTGATACGTCTAGCTTCAATATCTACCGGAGTCTTAGACCAGAAAGCCAGAATAGACGAATCTAGTTTCTGATAGAAAGATATTTACAATAGATATAAGACTTCCCAGTCACGAAAATGGAACAAATTCAGTCTTAAGAAGGAAGGTAGCTAATCTCTTACTTCGCATCTCGTGATGTTCTCAAGAGGATATATTCTCAAAGTTCGGCTAGTACTTGGATCAAGCATACGGAGACCATCCAAACCAATCTGCTACCACAAAACAAGCATCCAATTAACTAAATCTAGTTTATGTAACACAAAAGTACATTGAAATGAGGATATTACCTGGCAAAGAACATCTGTTGTGGTTTGTCCATAAGTCTCAGCCAACAACTTGACACGAAATTTCTGCACACCACCAGTGGAATCTTCCTGCACATCAGCCTTAGGAACAGCTCTCACGATCTTAGCAGAATTCGAGCTAACAGAAGAATCTCTCCCTCCAGAAGAAAAGCTAATAGATCGTCCATAATCATCGAACAATGTCGAATTGGATGATTTCGCCGCAGTTCCACGAGAACCGTATGGCTCAGCTTTGCCTCCTTCATAAGCATAAACGCCATCACCGTAGGAATCTTCAAAAGCAGGATAACCTCCGCTATCAGATCGTTTTCCGTATAGATCAGATCCTAAATCCGATCTGCTCCGGTTATAACCGTCATAACCAGATTGATCAAATTTCACCGATGGTTTCTCATACGAAGGAGGTACGGATGATCCTCCGCTACTATAAGAAAGTGCAGAGTACAAGGAGGATGAGTAAGGCGCATGATTAGGATTCGGCGCAGGCGCAGATGAAGGAGGAGCATGAGGAGGTGCAGATGAATAGCCGGAGGTTTGATGATGATCATACGGTGAATAATACATCGGCTGTGTTGTTGTAGATTGCTGATACGGAGCAGTAGAATCAAATGATCCGTAAGAGGATAGAGGTGGTGGATGAATCGTGGGGGGAGGCGGTGGTTGGTTGAAGGTGGAATAAGAATTAGGGTTTAGCGATGTTGCCGGAGGAGAAGGAGGAGGAGGCGGTTGTGATGGTGGAGTGAAGGAAGGAGCTGAAGGAGGGACATGATCAGAGTTTTGCCCGTACGGAGTGTAATTCTGTGAATAGTTAGAGTAATCGGCGGAACCGTAACCGCCGGTGAACGGTGGCGCTGATGCGTACGTGTTTCGAGTAAGATCGGTCGGACCAGCTACGGTTGCCGGCGCCGGCGGAGAAGGATTAGGATTAGGATTCGGAGTTGGGTTTTGAAATTGAGAGTATTGGTGGTGATAGTACGAATTGTAATCTCCCTGTTGCATCGCTGAATCGGTGAGTGGAGTTTACGTCGGCGATGATAATTCGATCGGAAAGAGGAAGCGATGACGAAGACGAAGACGAAGATGAAAGATAGATCGAGAGAGTCAAGGGAATATTTTGCTAAGGGGGAAGGATTGTCTGTGTCGCGAACTTTTTTGTTTATTTAATAATAATACACGTGGTGGTATAGTGAACCGTTGATATGGTTCCAACGCGTGATGGATACGCCCATAGATAAATTCTAGCTGCTTTTCTATGCAAGTGTAAGGAACCAAGTCGGACAAGACTCATTTAATCACATAATCAATTGAAATTAATTACTTTCCTCGTATTAACATTGGGTTTCGGTTTTGAAGTATATAATTGGGCTTATTAGTTTTGTTAAGCCCAATAATGAAGTTTGGAGTAAGAAAGACGCAAAGGATAAAAAGGGTATTTCAGATGACGTAGCAATCTCGGACCGAGCTTCACGGAGATGATAACGACTAATTGACGGAAATAGCCCTAAAAAATTAGGGTTTTCACATTATTCCTCCAAAAACGTAAGTATAGCCCGAGACGGCGGATCTGAGTGTTTCACGCGTCTTTAAATAGAACCTTACCCTTCACCATCATTTTCTCAACCGCAATTGGTTTTATTCTTCTTCTTCTTCTTCTCTCTCTCTCATCGTTTAGCGATACGAATCGAGAAAAAAAAAATTAGGGTTATCTTCTTCTCTCCGTCTATAGCTATCGATTTCGATTTGATTTCGCGCCACAAAGAAGAAGGTTCATTAGGCGCGAATCTGAAACCTAGGTTCGATTAGTCCTGTCCGAATTTACTGTCCGTTGTCTTGTCCGTTAATCGATTCGATCTGAGAAAGAAAGAGAGAAACAAAAAACGATGTCGCGTTATTTCACATCTCCACCGCCTGTGTATGCGAGGAACTGGGCGAACGGTCAGAACTTGGTCGAATCGACTAAGGTTCGTCGAGCACTCAGTTCTTGTGATTGATTCGCAACGGTGTTCTCTTGTCTGAACATAGGTTTCTATGTTCGGAGAGAGTTCAAATTTGCTGATAATATCCTCTTTGTAGTTCAATATATGGCTAGGTTGCATATAAGCTATTGATTGTACAAACTGTAGGAACATATATTCATAGATCTATGAATTGAATCTAACCTATTCATGTTTTAGCATATTGAATTTTACTCTTAACGATGTCGTGTAGACATGAATGTTAGTTTGGTTTGGTCTTCAATAATAAGTCAACCATAAAGACATGTTTGTATATGTTTTGACTAATTAACATTTTGTGTTTTTATGATTGAATGATGTTACCCACGTATATGGGTTTCTGGTTGTTTACCTTATAAATCCCTCCTCTAGTCTAAATCCTTTATTCTGATGGATTATAAAGATCGAAAGACAAATAGTCGATTCTAAAAAGGTGCATCGGAAAGAGAAGAAGGAGAAAAAGAAATTAAAGGAAGTGAAGAAATCTCTTGAACAGCAGTATTCCCCAACCAAGACAGTCTCTGATGAATCAGAACAGCTTGAGAAGAGTTGTTTGACGGAAGAACATGAGCTACTTCACTCTGTTGGATATTTGTCTGATGGTAGCCAGAACAGTAAGAAGAGGATAAGGGAAACTTCTCCTGCTGTTGTTGAGAGTCAAATCAAAGGTTTGTGTTTTCTTCTTCTTGGACAAGATTAATCTTGATTCTTGTGTTTGAATACATGTTCTGATACTTGGACGTTTAATCATATGCAGCTACACCTGTAGCTGGTAAACCACTACGCATTCGTTTTGTCTTCAAGAAACCGAAAGAAGCTTCTGAGGTTGTACCTCAAGAAGAGGATCGTGTTTGTTCCACTTCAGGGACTGAGAGACCCAGTGAAATACCAAGTTCTGTCTCTCTTCCAAAAACCTGTGATCATGATGAGAATATACTCTCATCTTCTCTTGAGAGTGACAAGATTGCAATTCTTTCTGAATCAAAGAAGAGAAAGAAACATAAGCCAAGCAGAGAATCTCGGTACAATTCATTGTTTGATGAATGGGTACCTCCTTGCAATTCGTTGGAGGAAGATGATAGCAACAGTGATGACTGGCTTTTTGGAACAAGTCGGAAAGAAAATGTTTCTTCAGCCAAGTCTTCTAATAAGACTGATGAAGACATGATCATGAGCATGCAGACTTCAGCGGATTGTTCCTCTTATCCTAGAGCTCTGTTATTGTCTGGAGTCGGAATTTTTTCATTACCATATACAGTCCCGTTTTAGGTCCCATATTGTTTTGTTCTTTCTCAACTTAGCCTTAGGCCTTAGCTTGTACAGTACTCAATTGTAACAACCACAGTGATCTATAATACTTGTTGTATGATCTCTGTATTTTTGACCTTAATCATAAATTATGGTTTCCACGTACTAAATTATCTTCTTCATGAATTTTGGCAATTGAAAGCTTTTGTGTTGAATTGATCAATGCGATTGCAAAAGCTGGCTCCTTCCAATAAGCAATTCTAGCAAGAAGTTGATCAGTTTAGGCTGTTCCCCAGTTTAAGTGTTGTTCAGGCAGCTGGAGAAAGATCTCTTAACGCATGATTCTTTGTAAGATCACTTGCATGTACATTTTGGTGGAAAGAAGCAGAAAACAACAGCTTTTAAAAACAAAAACAGTTGCAATATTAATTAGATTCATTTGTTAATACAAAATGATCCCCATCAAGAACAAAAGAGAAGAGAGAGACAGATTAGTCTACATAGCAAGAGTAGAACACACGGTCTCTTACTCTGTGAACTCAAACGATTCACCAGCAAAGAGTAAAAGACACAACAACAAAGCTCAATTTAGTAACTATACAAAAAGCTACTCGAGATGTCTCCCTTCCCGTCGAATTATCATATTAAAATGGGGACGAATCAAATAGTTGAAATCATCATCTTCTTCTTCTTCTTTAGTTGGTTTACCTAGCTTAGAGATTTTTCATATCACAAGAACGCGCAACGGTTCTTATTCTTTTTCTTCTTCTTCTGCTTTGGTGGCTGAAGCACCACTTTTATGGCTGCATCAAACACTGCCTTCACGTTCTGCAGAAGCCCCAAAAGTTAAGAAATAAAGTTCAGCCTCTTGACAAAATCAGTCTATGCAAACAGTAAGAACCAAGACACGCGATTTGTTATGTATACCTGCTGTGTCTTTGAACTACATTCAATGTAGACCGCAGATCCAATCAGTTTCTTCAGGTCCTCTCCCTGAATCATTCAAAACAATATGAGACAATATATCGTTAAGAACTGGCAATCATGACAAGACTATTCGTTTAAAGAATTATTTACCTGGTTTGTTGTAATTGGCACTGCACCAGGATGATCAATGAAGAATTGCTTGTCATCTCGAAGATCTGCAGCAAATACCAGTGATTTAACAATCAAACTGTGTAAGAAAACTTAACAACTTTGTTAGAGTTACAAGGCTTGTAGGAACATAACCAAAGCATGATCATCAGTTCAAGTAGGAAAGAGTTTGATTACCGAGTTTTGTTCCCACGAGGATAATGGGAACACCAGGAGCATAATGCCTGAGCTCAGGAATCCACTGAGAGGGGAACATACAAGGAAGGAAATCAAATTTAGATCACACATCACAAACTGTATTGGAATATTAGCAAAAGAGCCAAAACCTTCTTGGCAATATTCTCATAGCTAGCCTTGCTGATGAGAGAGAAAGCAAGAATGAAAACATCGGCACCACGGTAACTCAGAGGTCGTAACCTATTGTAGTCTTCTTGACCTGTTTCAAACCCCAAACACAAACTAAGTCTAAACCCCAAAACAAAAGGAAATTCCAAGGGTTTTTCGAAAGATTTACCGGCTGTATCCCACAATCCAAGATTAACAGTGTTCCCATCAACAACCACATTAGCACTGAAGTTGTCGAAAACAGTTGGCACATAATCCTGAAAACCAATCACAAGTCACAGATTTACATTAAAATCATAATCATCCTTTATAACAAAACATCACTTTTGCTTCTAGATCAATGCTTTGGCCTAGATTCTCGAAGTAACGGTCTAATCAATTTCTAGTATACACAGCTCCATGATTTTCCAATCGAAAACTTTGATTTTGTAAGAGATGACCTAAATTGAATATGTCAGCTGAAATTGCTAACGATTTTGGAAACAAACATGGTCAATTTCCAATAAGCTTCGAGATCACTAATCTACTCTTGCAACGAGCTCAAACACACAAAAATAGAAATAAGAAACCGAAGAGATTGAAATTGGAGACGAAAGATTACTGTAGGGAAAGTATTGCTTGTGTAAGAAATCAGCATGCAAGTTTTTCCGACGGCACCATCTCCGACGGTCACACACTTTATGAACCTTGACGCACTCATCTCCGCCGCAAGATCGAAAAAACAAAAAAAAAAAACTTAAAATCCCCCTTTCTTGTTGATTCTTCCTCAAATCCTCGACATTTCGAGCTCGAAAGCTTGTGAATCTGAGAATCCCACAAATTGCAGAAACGGGAAAGAAGAAGAAGAAGAAGGAGGAGGTTAAATTGGCGGTTGATTGATGACTTTGAGAGGGAGCCTATAGGAGTAGACAACAAGAACAACAACTCTGAGACAGCTAAGAGAACACCAACACCTCCTTCCTTATCATATACACTCACTCCCCTATTATTTAAATTATACTTTATATTTTCACCTCCTATTTTTCTTTTCAAATTTTTGAAATATATTTTTCTTTTATGTCACGGATTTTGAATTTTGAAATGAAGATCTGCCAGTTTTATTAAAAATAAACGAGAAAAATACAAATGTCATGAATGTTTTTGTATTATCTCTTTGTTTTCTTAACGGTTTTTAAAATATTGCTATTATTAGGATTTAGGAATATATTTAAAATAAGTAGTTAACACTCTTTTTTTGGGATATTTTCATTGTTGTTTTGAGTTAAAATTGTTTCTTAAATTTGGACTATCATATATTGTCGAGTTTTGATGTATAATCTTATGACCAATGCAAGTAATGACTAGTTCAAAATCCTAGTGTAGTGTCTTCGGACTTGCCCTCGCATGAGACTTAACCAGCCCTGAAAATTTTTCCATAACATTTTTTTGTTCACAACTTTAATTATTAAAAATCAGATTTTGAACTAGTTAACTTTTGATCATTTAAACTCAAACCAATCAATATTAGTATACTAAGTCGCTTATCCGTCTAATCCTCTTGGCACCTACCAAAACAAGATAGAATTTGATCAATTTACCAAAACAACAACTAAAAGTTGTTATCTTATTTTAACCATTTTATCGATAAAATTTACAAATAGTAGTTGGTAAACTATTCTAACGTCTCAAAACTATGGGTTTTCTTACAATAAACTTTGTTTAGTTAGCTAATTTGAATCCGCATATTGAGTAACGTACTGTTAAGTCTCTCGTGTGTCTTTAATTTCAAGGGAGGTTAATTTAAGTGATCTAAAGATATAGACATTATAGTATAGTAACAAAACAAGATGACTTTTTAAGAATATTTAAGTAATATTTTTTTTTGTTCTACCTCTTAATATTTTTTTTTTGTTCCTTAGCTAAAAAACACTTCTTAGCTTAAAGGCATTTTTGAAAATAAATATAATCAATTAAATGCAAACATGATCTTAAGATTTCTTGAGAGACTGCTTATAATTATGGTCTAGTATAGCAAAATACGGAGAGACATGAATGAAATCTTTAATCATTGGATTTGGCAACTCTCACTCATCAAGAACGTGCCGGCACGATTCCTATATGTCTTATTTATGATGTTTTACTTATTTTCGATTCCCTTCGGATTACGAAACATAGGCGACTAGAGTCCAATGGGACGTGCCCAACTCTAACTAAATCAACCACTAACGATCCACCACGTCACTGATTGTCCCATCACCTAATCATAATCACACCAGACGGTAGCTTGTTATTATTATTGTCAAATTTGATGAATCATAATTAGTAGCTAATTGCCATCATGTGTTAGTTTCAACTTTTTCAATCCATAAGCATATATTTTGCTGACAAAAAGAAATACTCCCTTAAATATTGATTATGGAGTAGCTTATGAAGTATTGATTATGCCTACTGAGTTTAGTTATGAATATTATAGTATAATCAAATAAAAATTACCCACAAATATTTATCCAATGACCTTAATAATTTGTACAAAAATATTATAATCTTTTCCTGATTTAAACCACCCATATATTTTTTAATAACCTGTATTATGCGGATTTGGATTTAAATAATCACATTCAACAATAGTAACACAAACTACTAAATTGTATGCGGAAGGTATGAATTAACCAAATCATGATATCAAAGAACTTAAGCTTAGTAGCTTACCAACTATTCACCAATCACCAACCAGTGACCCTCTCTCTTTATTAACTAACTCCACTTCTTTTCTATTCAAAAATCTTTTTGATAGAATAACTAAATTACTGACCAGAATTCTCTAAGAAATAGATGAAAAGGACAATCCATAATCCAATAAGCTGCAAAAGAAAAAATCAGAATATGTCAAAGAAATAAACCAAAACAATAATTTCCATAAAATTCATCTAAATTAAGGCTTATACGTGGCCCATTATGTTTGTGTAAGCCCATTATGCTTCAAATCGAGTTATAGCAACAAATATAGAATTTTTACGTACATCGGAAGGAAGCCAAACAAAAAGTGTTGTTGTTTCGTGAACCCTAAGAGACGAAAACACGAACCTTTGAAGTCAAGAAGAAGTTCTCCACTGAAGCTCAATCTGAATCCGACCATTCTTGGAATCAATCAGATGATACTTATCATTGATTCTCCGATTACTCACAACATCACCAAGGTTTATCACAACGTAACCAAGAGTTTCCTGATCATATCAAACAAAACGTTGTTCTTGCTCAAAGATCTGATTTTAATTTGATGCAACCTTTCAAAGGGATTTAAAAAGAGATCTGGTTTTGTTTCTACCTTGGGATGAAGTAATCTTGAAGAAGAACTTATGACTTCAACGTGAAGCTTATCGTTTATGGGAGGCTCATCTAATGGGAACTGAAAATCTTCATCCCATCTCGGTTCTCTGTTTTTCTTCACACGCTACAAAAATCAAACCAAAATGTGTAACTTTAAGATCTTTTCATATGTTTTGATTTTGAATTTAAGAGAAGTTTTATAACCTTTGTTTTACGCTCTTCCCCTCTGAATAGCAAACGAACAGAAGGATTAGTGTGATATTTGCCTTCTAGATCTTCAGCTTCGTGAACTATCACCACAAGCAAACCACCACTAGAAGGTGTGCCTTCTGGTGCTTTCTCTACTGCATTTGGATCATCAAGGTTCTCTGGAATTTCATCATCCTTAAAAGGTTTATATTCGACCTCCACAACGAGCTGTCCA